GACACTTAGTCTGGTCCGATTTATAGAAAAAAATACTTCTAACGGCAAATAATTATTATTTGGTCCAGCATAGTTTTTAAACCTATTTCGAGTATGCTGAATCCGAAAAAATATACTGGCCTTCATGAAAATGGCGTTAAAGAGGTCAAAATGGCGATTCAAAATGGCGGCTATCCAATTCTTCTAATTTTCTCTTAATATCGTTCAAAAAGGAGAAATAATGTGTGAATATCTCACTGAGTGTAATACAAGTATAAAAATGATAATAGAATGCTAACATTATTAGTTAAACTCAGAAAATTTAGTCTTTTCTACAATTAATTCGAATTTTCTCTGATTTTTTGGTCTATTGTTCTATATTCCGCTTTGTTCAGGATTTTACATTTGCAAATATCCATACACTGCAGATTTGTATTTTTTCCCTCTACATCTCACCATTCTACAACTTAATGATGGTGCAGCTGTAAGTTAAAAGTCAAAATGGCAATTCAAAATGACGGATATTTATCTTTTTTTAAAATTATTTTTAAATTACTTCTTAATGTCGTTTACACAGGAGAAAGGAATTGCGAATAACTTACTGAGCGAAGTACAATTATGTAAAATGCCAACAGAACACTAATTTGATCACTTTAAATCGGAAAATTTAGTCGTTTAAATAAGAATTATGTGTTAATTAGCTCAAAATGGCGATTCAAAATGACGTCTGATACATTCGAATTTCGTAGAAACTGCTTAATATTCTGGTTTGTTTTGCAGAAAATAAATTACAGTTTGTTTTTTATATATATAGTATATATAGTATATTGATAAGTCCATTAGATATGAACAAAAATACTTGAAAAGATTCATTATATTCTGGAAATAGTTAACAACAAACTGGACTTAAGAGTTTCCGAATTTCCCCCTTCGTATTTGACCGTACGTGTTTCAAAGCCTAAAATCACTCCCGAATCCTGTCATTATCAACTTGCACTTCTAAATCAACATCCCTCGGCACACCATCAAATATAACTGAAGAAATTCTTGTCCATTTCATCAAACACTTTGTACTAGCTTTTTAGCACTTATAAGAACTAAGAATTATCCCCTAATATCTTCTATTCCAGCTTTATTTGCTATATGTTTCAGTCTGTCATCGGAATTTTGGTATTTCCAACTCTCAAGTAAATGGTGCGCCGTGTCAAGGATGACAACCCCTTGGCATGTAAAAGATCATTTCTCTGGAGTTCGAAAAAGAGTAAGCTCACTGGGGGCCGCCAGAGAAACCAAAATCCTTTAAAAAAAATTGATTATTTAAACTGATAATCCGCCGAAACATGGCTGAAAAATTGCCGACTCGGCGTTAAACAATATACAATCAATCAACCGACCCTCAAGGAACAACACATTTATGTTCAAATGTTAAAAGTCTATTTTGTTTTCCAAAACCATATGCAAAATGAACTAGAGGTACTGTGAGCAATGAGCTGACTAAATGATACCCCGGTCTCCCATATGAATATAATGACAGTGTCCATGTTTTGCTATGGAAAATTTCATTCAGTGGTATGAGAGGAGTTGTGGATAAGAAATGGGTACCCCAAAGCGGAACAGACGGTCGAACATACATACACCTGTACCGATTACTCTATACCCTCCCGCTTTTCAAGTGAGGTGTATAAAAAAAAAATCTCTGATATTCAAGACATGTAGCTCTTTATTTTGTGACCTCGTATAGACTTGTTGTCTTTTAGGGTCGAAAGGTCATTTTACTAGCAAGAAAATTATCATCTGAAATCATATTGTGTGCATATTTTGGTGAGAGAAGTTGTAAAATTATGCAATTTAAGAGCGCCTGCAGATTCCTCGTGATTCCTATCACATATACAAGCTTTCGAACCAATAGGCCTAAGCCATTCCTGATTTCGATCTAATCAACACTTCTCTTGACAACAAAATTTTCTTGAACACTTCAAAACGTTTACAAGGCATTTTGATCCACACTTCTTTGTTAGGATAGTGTAAGGTTGTATCAAGAATCGTGGGGGGGGGATTGAACACAAACATTTTCTTCTCTCAGATTTTGTAAATTTCACAATTTTTAAATTTATATACACTGTTCAATACAAAATTATCCGTACAAAGCATGAAATATTTGAGAATGTAGTTGAATTTTTGACTGAGAATAACAAAATGCAAATGTAGGGACACAGAATCAGAGCTGGACAATGAAGAAAATTTATGGTTTACGTATATTATACTGATAATTCTTAATATATATATATATGCTTATATTTGGATATTATAAATATATTCAGATTTATATGATGTAACAATTACTAGCCCTATAATTGGTCCTGGTCAATCATTTTCAAAATCATACTAAGTTATGTTGCACTAGACCTTCCACTTGAACATTTATTAAACATTTATTTTTTTCTAAACTGGACTAAGAATAGATCAAGAATTTCCAACATCTGAATGTTCACTCGCCTTAATGCTCGGGGGATACTGCTCTTGGGGTAGCTTAATTTTCATATTGTCCCCAAAACAGCAATTATTGTACGATATTATTAACTTTTTATATGAAGAAGCATGGTGAGACAGGTAAAAGGTAAAATGTATTCGGAATTGTCGTCAAAAAGTTATCATCACAATAGAAGTAATTAAACAAAAATCCGTGTTATAAAAATCCTATGTCATAAACAAAAAATATCCTCCAACTCTCATTGCATATTTGAACATGAATAAAAAACAAACTGTAATTTATTTTCTGCAAAACGAACCAGAATTCAGCAGTTTGGATATTTTACGAGATTCAAATGTATAAATTTGACGTCATTTGAATTGCCATTTCGAGCTAATTAACACATTTCAAATTTAACGACTAAATTTTCCGATTTAAAGTGATGAAATAAGTGTTCTATTGTCATTTTACATAGTTGTACTACGCTCAGTAAAATATTCACAAATCTTTTCTCCTATGTAAACGACATTTAGAATAAAATAATTTGAAGAAAAAATGAATATCCGCCATTTTGAATCGCCGTTTTGACTTTTAACTTACAGCTTCGCCATCATACAATTGTAGACTAGTGAGATGTAGAGGGAAAAATACAAATCTGCAGTGTATGGATATTTGCAAATGTAAAATCCTGATCAAAGAAGAATACAGAAACAATAGACCAAAAAACAGAGAAAATTCGAATTAATTGTAGAAACGACTGAATTTTCCGAGTTCAACTAATAATGTTAGCATCCTATTATAATGTTTATAGTTTTATTACACTCAGTTAGATATTCACTCATTACCTATCCATTTTGAAGGACATTAAGGGAAAATTAGAAAAATTGGATGTCCGCCATTTTGAATCGCATTTTGACCTCTTTAACGCCATTTTCATGAAGGCCAGCATATTTTTTCGGATTCAGCATACTCGAAATAGGTTAACAAACTATGCTGGACCAAATAATAATTATTTGCCATTAGAAGTTATTTCTAGCCTTCTTTTTAAAAATCAGGACCAGACTAACTGTCATTTTTCATCGTTTATTTCATTTTTCTCACGCATGCTGTATTGTATTGTAATGTACATAATTTATGTTTGTATTTTCTCTATACTGTTGTGCAGTTTAAGAGAATAAACTATTGAATTGAATTGAATTGAATTGAAGACCTTATATGGCTATTGTTATCTTTTCGCACATAGTCATTGTCCAATCCGGTGACAGAACAACAAAACATGGTGGTTTACTATGTTTACATTTTATCACAGACACGTGGTTGAGGTAAATTTACCTGTTATTACCCTTTTCTACATTAAAAACTTTTATAATGGTCAGCCAAGGTTGTTTATACATAATAATACGCATGGATTTCAGCATTTACGATTTTAGGACAAGAAATGCACTTGGAACTTGTATTCACTGATACTCGGGAATATGTGAAGGCCTAGCGAATTGCTCACCAAACACGCTACAAAACTTTCAACTAATGTATATTTATCAATTGTTTGTATGTGTGTATAAATTCTACTGCGGTCTCGGGACTGTTGATAATATGTAGACTGATGTCTAATCCTTGACTCAAATGCATTAAAAAATATCGGAAAGCAGTAAAATACCAAGCATGTTTCCACAGTATTTTTGTAGTACTCACTCGTATAAAGAATTTCATTTAGCTGATTGGTCAGTTAGAAACTATCGACAATGCCTCGATTAGCATATGAATTTATTCTTACGTCAGAAAATCAAGTTCCATCGATCTGTTTATAATGAGAAAGGTCAGCTAGATTTTACAATTTAAAAAAAAAAATAGCATGTGAGCGCAGTTAGGTACAATTTTCTCCTTTTGCATATAGTTAGATTTCAATGAAATGCAGTGTCCAGCCAAAGGAGAAAATTGTACCTAACTGCGCTCGTATTTTTTAAGGGCCTCAAAGAGTGGGGCGGGGTTAAAATGCAATGGGAATTGGATGTAAACATGATACCCCTACCCAAATAAAAGATCTATATCTTGCAAATCACTTTTCTATTTTTGTTATAAATAGTATTCTATAAAGGTACACATATCAGTGATTTGTTACATGCAACATCTGAGTAGAATTTAGACATTTAATTTTTTGTCAATTTACCAGGGGCCACAAGTCACCTCATCCTTTGACCATTTTTAATTTATATTTTCTTATAAGATTGGTAACTTGCATGTCAACTTAATTAACTTGCATATTGACATAAATATGTTGCATGTCTACATAATTATGTTCCATGTTAACATAATTTACCCTCATTTAGGGGGCAGAAATATGCCATAATAATTATTACACATTTCATAAAATAGGAGCATCCATAAACTGCTTGTCCAAAACAAAAAAGGCGGGTGGCCACAAAATTCACGCTACAAATCCAATTAAGGATTGGATCCACCCATCAAAAACTGATATTGTTTGTGCTGGTGATATGGAGAGAGAAAGGATTTATAAATATTCAAAGAAAGAAAGAAATTGTTTTGGTTTTAGGATGTGAGACGGGATATCAAGCTGAATGGTGCTTATTGCCCTGTCGATTTCCTAGTTATGGTGATTGCTGCCAGGGTGAATGTAACTGTGAAAAAAGATTTTGTATTCATGCACAGAATGCACAGAAGGTAAGAGAGGAAAGCACCTTATTATTGTCTTAATCATTACGTGATTTCCTTTTCAGCAAATGCATATTTCCTTTTATACGTTTGATATCAGATTTCTAATTGTACAAAATTATCGTTAAAGTACATGTCTTGGAGATATACTTTTCTGTATCTTGTTGTTGTTTTAAAAGAATGTGGATCTGGCTATAATGGAACGAATTGTTCTTCATTCTGTATATATCCTTTTTATGGTGACCAGTGTTTGCAGAAGTGTAACTGCACCAAGGAATCGTGTGATAATGCTCTAGGATGCATAGACGGTAAGAGAGAGAGAGAGAGAGTGTGTGTGTGTGTTTGTGTTAACCAGTGAGTTTGAATGTAATCTATTTAAGCTATTTTAGCCTATGGTGTAGGAGATGCACTTTATAATAAGAACCCTGGACAAGATGACAATTTAATTATGACATTTCTTCTTAAAAATATTAGATAAAATATATTTTACCTGTTAAATTAGTTAAAAAACTGTTTTAAATCTTTAAAATTATAAACAATACATTTAATTTCTTGAATAAGGAATGCCTCTTCAAAGCACGACGATAATTATCGGAGGACTTTCAGTATGTGCGAATTTTCTAATCATTGGGTTTTAAGTTCAGCTTTCATTCCTTGAATTAAAACTCGTCTGACAACATTGAGCTTGTTTTTTGCCAAATAACACAAGACATGTTTGTTCCAAAACAATGTCATTTATTATGAAATGACAACATATAATATAAAACATAAAAGTGAATAAAAAAGACTGGGATACAATGTAACCTTAAAACACAATTCCTGAGAAAATTTATAAAACATAACAATTGGTCTCCCAGTCTATGATTATTACATAACATATATAATTTGGCAAAATAGGTGGCCTCAAAAATATGGCCATAATATACATATAAAACGGAATTAATTACAATTGAAAACATAGACATATGAGTTTAAGGTGGCCTAATGTACAGTTAAAGTCTGCTTGGGGATGGAGGTGGGTAATCCAAAAAAATATTTCAGCAAATGTTTGGCCGTCTTGTCTTTACAATAGCAGTAGATATAATGATGCTACTTCTCTTATCTCAAAAGGATAAAATTACCGGGGGATCCCCACGGGTTAACAGATAATGCGAATTTTCTAATCATTGGGTTTTTCGTCGTTAGGGGACGACCGTTTCATTCTGAGGGGAGGGGGGGGGGGCTGGCAGATTTTGGAAATAAATAATCTTTCCCTGAAAATATTGAAAATAAATAATCTTTCCTCCACTACAGAGAAAATAAATAATCTGACCTTGCCTTATGATATTTCAATATTGTGAAAAATACCCTTTTATTTACGTGTAATTTAATCTCAAAAGTCTTCAATTCAAACAATTTTTTTTGGCTCGCTTCCCTCGCCAATTTAGATCCAAATAGTATTTAAAATCAGATTACCAGACTGGATACTTGAGTCATTTTGTCAACCTGACAATGTGCACTTAGTAGATGTGATGAATAACAGTACTTTAAATACAAGCCAATTCTTATACACCACAAAAGATAAATTTTCTTGTCGAAGAATTACACTTCCCCGATAAATTAATACAAAATATAAACTGGTGGATTTAAGTGGGACGTACATGTGTACAACCCCTCCCCTAAAATTTCAAAGTATGATACGAATAATAATAATAATGCCATACTTTGGGACAATACCAATATTTTTGTGCCTAGTTTTACTCTTAAAATACACAAAAACCCAAGAGCTTTAGGGGGCTTTGCCCCCTTGGCCCTTTTCATTCAAAGTATGATATGACTAGTATTAATAATTTCATACTTTGGTACATATCTAACCAATTCCTACACAATTGTGTCTGGCTTTACTTTTTTTACATACAGAAAACCCAAGAGCTTCAGGGGGCTTCGCCCCCTGAACCCCCTTCATTTAAAGTATGGTATGACCAGTATTAATTATGTCATACTTTGGTTCATAATAACCAATACCACTATAATAGTGCCTGATTTTACTCTTAAAATACAACCCAATAGCTTCGGGGGGGAGAGGGGGGGGTTACTCCCTTGGCCTCCACCAGGGCTTCGCCCAGGACATGGGTGCCTTACGGCGGCCCCAGACCTCTTGCCTCAACAAAGCTATACACGCCCCTCCCCAAATCCTGTATCTGCCTATGGTATATAAATGATTAGTCTTTTAGAATCAATTGATTACGGTACGGAAAGACAAAGAAGAAAATAAATAATCTGTCCTTGATTAATTTGAAAATAAATAATCTGTCCTCGACAGGCATGAAAATAAATAATCCGTCTCAAAAAAAATTGCCAGGCCCCCCCCCTCAGGATCAAATGGTCGTATTTTTTTGAAGAGGTTCTCGGGGAATAGAAGAAATTGTCTTCAGATCGGATCAGAAACTCCGGAATATTCCTGGAATCTTTACAAACCTTACGACAAACAATGCTGTACACAGGATTTCCAAACTACAGATAATGGAATTTACATGTTAGCATATGCAAATAAATATGAAACTATCGATAAGCGAAGTCAACCAACAAAAGAATATTCAAGTAACATGTAGCATGAAGAAAATATTAAAGTATTGATTATCAATTAAAGCTAATCAAGCGTAAGAATTTGTTTCTCAATAAAAAATATGTAATTTAAGGAATGAAGCTTATTTCAACTTATGTTGTATCATTGCTGCGGTGTTTTTCCTTTGAAGTCAAGTGTACAATAACTGGAGATACACCGATGGGCGTGTCCAGAAAAAACTGTGCCGTGTATATGGGCGGAGCCAGCAAAAACTGTGCCGTGTAAATAAATTATTGAACACCAAGGCGATTTCATCATTTTAAATTACATGTATATTGAATCTAAATTACAGCATGAATGGGCTTTGTAATATACAACTGCAAAAATTCTGCAAGCGAAATAAAAGTCTTTCACATAAATTACAGTGCGTATATATCCCAAACTACGAAATGATTTTACTGAGCTCTTCAAATATTCAATCCAAAGCAACGCGAAATCAAATTCTTGACATGAACTCCACACAGAAATATATTAAACTAGATGTGAAACTCGTTGCGAGCAACGAGAGGTCTTCCGTCCGATTCCGGAAGGAAAACGTTAAATCGAGCAGAAAAATTGAAAAAGATTTGCACACAAGGGGGATTGAACCCAAGTCGCCAGCATGAAACTCCAACGCACTAAATACTACGCCATCGTGACCTCTACTCTAAATCTACTTGTATATATGTACAAAACAGTGCTTCTGTCTTAAAATTATGAAAGGCAGGTCACTTTTCAAAATTTAGCGATAAACGCCACGAGTTAATCTTTGCGCCTTTTCTTTGGAATGTTCTATTAAATAGGTGTTATATCTTCAATGAAGTTAAAAAAAGAACGTTCTTATAGTCTATTCAAGGTTTACAAAGTATATTAACACAGTTTACAAATTCCATATTGTATATATGCATTTAACACTAAAGCGGTGAAACAGTTATGAATTTTTAATTTTTTTCAGTTTCCTTTGTATCCCCAAAGTGAACTATCCCGATTAGTAAGTCGACAAAGGTTGAAATGTTTCGCCAAAAACATGGCTCCTCCTACAGCGGTCATGGAATCAGATATCATTCTTGATCAATAACTCTGAGACAAGAATGCTAAAATAAACTCCATGAAGCGATCTTTTAAAAAACATCTTATTTTTGTCTTATTTGTATTAGTTTAATATGACACAAGTGTGCATAGGAAAAACAGTTGTTAAGATTTATACTTAAAATATTAATTGACATTCTTTTTTGCGAAAGCATTACGTATAAGCATGATTAAAGATCTGTTTTTCCATGGTGCACAAAAGATATTAGGTGTTGAATTTCCTTTGCACACTTAGTCTTTTACCAATTATAGAAGACGTTAGTTTGACACAGAACTGCAACGAAACTACGACGTGACAATCCAAGTATTCCTTTACATTTCATTTATCCTTATGTGACTTTCGTTCAAGCAAACGCTCGGCTGCCTCCGTAAACCCCTATTGCGAAATGTCGACGTTGACAGAGACAGCCGCCATTTTGGACCCGCTTCAGATTTTTGAATGCTAATATCTAGAGTTTAGATTTATCCACATTCAAACAAATTATATAGTAAGCATTATAAGGAGGGTTTCTATTAACATACCAAAAATAAATGAAAAATACTGAAAAACAAAAAAGTATGAAAATACGAATTTTTAAAATTTGCATCTCGTAACAACCGGAAGTACTGACGACGCACGAGAAGGTGATTCCGCAAACGACAAAGTGACAAACTATCGTCTCCAATAAGTCTCCAGGTCATATCTTTAGCTATTTTTGAGAAAAAGGGGCGACAAAATCGCATTTTAAAATCAGGAAATCGTCCATAACTTGGCACCATAAGCGAATTTTCCAAATTTCTCTTCGGATGTAACAACTTCATATAATGACACATATTTTGTGAAAGTTTCGTGAAAAACTGCTGAATAGTTTTCGAGAAATCGCCTGCACAAAATTTTGTCAAAAAAAAGAATAATAATAATAAGAATAATAAGAAACAGTAGAATCACTATAAGGTCTTCCGTTGGAAACGGAAGACCTTAACTAGAAACGATCTCGTTGCGAGCAACGAGAGGTCTTCCGTCTGATTCCGGAAAAGAAACCAGTAAAATCGACCTGAAAATTGATTTAAAGATCTTTGGATACTCAGATAATTTAAACGGGTCACGAGCAGTAAAATTCAACACGCTATCTATTACGCTATTTGAACCCGTACTCTAAATTTACTTGTGTGTACATGCAATATCTGTCATAGAATTATGAAAGGAGAGTTTTAATTCATAATTTTGCGCCAAAAGCCACGAGTAAATCTTGGTACTTTCTCTTTGGAATGTTCTATTAAATAGGTGTGATAGCTTCAATTAAGTAAAAAAATAAAATGTTCTTATTACCTAAATTTCGAGGTTTAATTAGAAAGTATACATT